GGGAGATGGGGTACAGATATTGTATGGCTCTAGGCCAGTGCTATGAACAAGTCTTATGATTGCTTATGATTTCAAGATGGGGTTGATTCCTCTCGACTCGGAGGCCGTGACTCTCGCCGTCACGGTTGGAGATAGACTCGACACGACCCACTCCACTTCGCCTCCCTCATCACTCCTCACCTTCAGTTCATCACACCCTCATTCTCATTCCCCCAAACTTCTTTTTCCGTATTTTTCTCATCTACACTATATACACAATCAGCTCCTCCCCTAACTCCCACCCGCTACCTACTAGTACGTACCCAAATACATACCAAAATGCATTACTCATTGCCAACCTAGCCGTCGGTATAAACAAAGGCAGCATCGCTAGGAGCACAAGCACAAGCACAAGCACGAACTGAAGTATCATTTCGAGCCATGATTGTGGCTCCCGTACTAGTAGATTCCAGGCTGGTGGGGGTGGTGGCCTTTGCTTGGCGGTGGAAGAGGAGGGGGGAGAGGGGGCGGAGCTGGAGGCGGAGGAATCGGAGGAGTCGGAGTTGGTGTCAGAGCCGGCTGACGGCCCGGAGTTACCTTCTTCTGCCTCCAACTCGCGATCGACCTGCCAAGCACCCATCCCATCCAACGCCGGCCGCCGTAATTCAACCTCGTTGATGAGTTCGGGAATTGAATCCGAGTCCGAGTTAGAGTCCGAGTCGGCGTCATATCCAGCCTCCAAGCCGAGATAGGCACGGTTAAGGTATGGATCATGGGACTGACGGAAGGAGAGTGTGGGAACTGAGTTGGTGTCATAATCGAGCCTGTAGGTCCAGTTGAACACAGCAAGTGTGCGCTCGAGCTCGTCGACTTCATCGAGGATGATAGAGGCATTTGAGGAGGAGACATCGGAGGAGGATGAGGATGAAGAGGTGCCGGAGTCGGAGTTGGAGCCGCGGTCACTTTGAGATGCTGGTGAGACTGTTAGTTATATATTCCATGTTACGTGGTCGAGCGTACAGGGAACTTACCCACAACGTGGACGTCCTCGTCCTCGTCCTCGTCCTCGTCATCGCCATAAAACTCCTCGTCATCCCCGTAATCCTCATCATCATCCCCATACAACTCATAATCATACCAAACCCGATAAGGTTCGAGTTCTTCTCCATCATCCTCCTCCTCCTCCTGGGTTTCATATGCCCTCTCGTAGTGGCGATTGATCGCAGCCAAAAACAGTTCCCTCGACACATCCACAGAAGGCGGCACATCGTCCGATTGAACGTCAACGCGGAGCCTCGCTTCAATCCTGCTGGGGATTGTGGGGTCCATGTTATTTGTGACGGTCGTCTCGGTGTATGTGATGATGAAGTTGACGAATCTCATGGTGAATGAGTGTTAGAAAAAGATGTGTTTATTGTAGAAGGGTAAGTGGTAGTAGTTTTGTGACGATGAAGAAAGCTTGGTAACTAAAGCAGTACTGATGGATCAGAGGTGTGAATAGTTGAGGGATCAGGTCGAGGAGGGCGGGGGAGGGCGGTTATATTCTCTCCCAGCATGGTCAAAGCAACACGATAAATGTTTTTCGAAATTTAAAGGAGACTCGGTGGGAGGTGGTGCTCATCTGGAACCAGTATCAAACTTTGTTAGGGCGAGAGAGTGTACGTGTAAGTACGTGTAGAGAACTTGTATAGATAAATTTATACATAGCTGTAGGACTTGGAACGTGCGCAGTGGCCACTCACTCAGCGTCACGGGGTGTGGAGGAGGCGTTAACACCATAACGCTGCTACTGATGGTACATGTAGAACTACTAGTACTGAATGCTTCACCTCCGTCCAGTAAGTTGATCTTCTCTAATCCGAACGTTACCATCCCCGTCACTGTATCCAGCGCCTCTGTAGCCAGATAACAACAACCAGTCGCCGTCTGTGCTTCATCCAGTAAGTTACTGCCCTGCGAAGATAGGGCCTGCCACTGATCGGATTGACTTCTTGACACTTCGTCAGGAAAAGTTAAAACGATCTCAGGGCCCGTGCACTATGACTTCTTCTGAAGCCAGAGCGCCGCGACACACGAGAGGAGGTGCCATCTTCTGGTCAAGGAGCCATAAGGCGAGAGTTCCACGATATGCCAAGTCTGTCCGCACCGGCGAGGTTCAACTTCACAAGATGTCACGTCTATCTAGAGTACATCCCCGCCCGTTGTCGAGGACTCTGCCGCGCAGCCCATGGCGGTTATCCGCTACCTAGCGTTTTCTTACTATTTCTACATTATCAATGCATGACCCCCCTCAGGTTTCTCCTATGGATTGTTTATCCCATCTTGTCATCGCTGTTAACATGAGAAATTCCATTGGCGCTGCAGCAACAGGCCCACAACAAAAACTCACCACCTCCCTTGCAGCATGCAAAGATTTCAGTCTTTCTGGATCGTAGATCTACTCAATCTTGTCTAAGAACCCTTCCAATCTTCCCTCGCGATGCAGCCTGATGTAGAAGTTTTCTGGCCTATCACGCTTCTCCGAGGATTCCTCACTTTTGACGTCCGAATCCGTCTGAGCCAGCAGCGTTGCTTCGGTCGCACTGCTTTCCGAGTCGATGAATCTTTTGGGGTGGACGTAGCAAGCCCAGAGGTGGCAGCGGTCGAGGTGTTATCACAAGCGGCCATTTTGTCGGCGTGTGTGGATTTGTGGAGTGCATGAAAGGTGATTTTAAAACGGCATAGTGTGTAGTGTTGGAAGATGAACTTCGCGATAACTAGCTGCTGGAGATGGCAGGGATGGTTACTGAACAGTGATTGTATCAACCTGCGGAATTGGGCGGTTTATACTCATTAACATAGGGCCCGAGCTTGAACCCCGGAGTGCTGTTTAGGGATCGTCACTGGGAGACGGATAATTTTTTCTCCGGATATGAAGTTTAACCATGAGATGGAGGGTTGCGGGATGGCCAGTGTGAGAATAGAAAACCTTGGGGACGCTGAGCGTTATCATTGTCCCGGATAGCCAGTTATAGTTTAGAGGACACTGTGACGGTGACGAAAGCAACTCCTGCAGCGGACCAGAGATTGGATGGAGTGTTATCACGGTGTTGATGAAGGAGTAACTGTGTGATCTCGGCGAAGGGAAAACTTGAAGTTTGGGGTTACGGCGCCCGCGAGATGCAGTGATGATGATTACTCTCGTTTATTGTCCTTCATCCTTGGTGGGATATATAGACACCTGCACTACGTACAGAATAAGACAAAAAAACCACCGTACCTCTCACCCTCCCGTCACGGCGCACAAACACAGCGTAGCCAACGCGGGGTGAGTGTGTCTGAGTGAAAACCGGGGTGAGAGATCGAGTGACCGACTAAACAAGTGCCATCAATCCATATCGGTTGTTTGGTAACCTTCCCTCTGAGAATAAAGACGCGCATGTAGCAGGCTGATTCTATCCCGGAGCGCTTTGAGGGTACAAAGTTCGGGCCCATGAAGTGCGAGTCTGAGCTGTGGGAACTTTGATTGTTCGTTTTTGTTTGTTTATTTGTTTGTAATCATTTAAGCGCATGCGTCCCTTTGGGATATGGCGCGAGGTAACATACACATCCCCCCTTTCCACAGCGTGACGCTGCTTCTATTCTACAAGACTCTGCTTCATCCGTTTTCAACCATTTTCTCGCTGACCTTGCTGCCTTTGCAGTGGCCGCCTTTTGAGCTGTACACTGCTGTGCACATTGGGCTCTCCTACATCCGCCGGTTTCTTCTTCCCTTGCTTTTCTATACGCTCATATCCTCCTCTGCCCCCTCATTCTCTCTCTCCCAGCCCCATTCCTCATGCACTCGCTCTTCTTCAACTCGGTCCTCTTCCTCTGTTTTTTGCCTACCCATAAGCGTGTCTTGGATGAATTTTAGGAGCGCCAGGGTGGCTCTGGGTTCTGCGAAGATTGTCGACAACGTGTGCGTCTTCATGAACCCTTCTTTCCTCAGCGTGTTCCAGAGCCCCTCTTGATCCCTTCTCCATGTCCTACACTCCTTGAACAGGTGGTCGCGGGTCTGACAGGGTCCGTCGCACCACCAGCATCCGTCGCTGTCTCTTTCCTATCGATTTTAGGTAGACCGCTGTGACTGCAACCTGTAGTATTGAAGAGCGACTTTTTTCCAAGCTTTTGCCGCTGTTGGGTCCACTTTGGTAGACTTCCTGAGCTTGTATCGCTGGGGATAGTACTTTTGGCACTTCTCCCCAAACCACTGCTTCTCTTCTTGGTGTCTGGCTTCGTTGATCAGCCGGCTGATATGGGCTAATGAGGGTTTCCGGGTCCGCCAAGAATTCGGGTTACAGGTGGCAGCTTCTTTCGCTGCTTTGTCTGCTGTATCATTACCTATAATGTCTTGATGGCCGGGTACCCAGTGCAGATGCACGTCCACTCCTCTAACGCTTAGTTCCGCGTAGCTTTTCCGGATCTCGTTGGCCACTTCTTGTCCCGGCCCTAGGTCCAATGACTTGATTCTTTCCAGCGCAAATTTGGAGTCTGTGAAGATCCGTATTTCGTCAGGCCTTGATTGTTCGTATTGTATTGTATTGTATTGTATTGTAATCATTTAAGCGCATGCGTTCCGTAGGGATATGGCGCGTCAACTACCCTTACATCCTCCCTTCCCCTCGCCATTGTCCAATACATTGTTTTTTCTTCAAATACATAATGTTCATCCGCTTTCAACCATTTATCTCGCCGTCCCGTTGTACTTGGCAAGGGACGCCATTTGGGTGGCCAGTCTGATGACATGGCTATTCCCTCCTTGTTCAGTTGGCTTACCCCCTAGCCGCATTTTTAGCATGTAGAAACAAAGTTTCAGCCACATGGTTAGAAAGGTGGTGACGTTGGGATTTGAACCCAAGACCAAAAGGAGGGGCTTGCCTAATGGAATACCTGTATGGCCGCTCCTAACCACTGAGCCATACCATCACCGCCTTGATTGTTCGTCAGTCGTGCTGTTATGTTTGTTGATATAATTGCCACGTGGTCGTATAACAACACGTGGTCCAGTAGTGTAGTTGGTTATCACAGCGGATTCTGAATTCAGGATCTTCCGCTAACCTGGGTTCGACTCCCAGCCGGACCTTTTTTGTTTCCCGCGGTCCCTGACTGCACAACCGCTCCACTCTGCATTATGCTTACGTTATTTCACATGGTCTTTTTTTTTTAATGTTACTGAGACGGACATTTCATCCCTGTGCAGTGTGCATGAATGGGGATATTGGGTTTCTTCTCTCCAGAATTAGTATCGGTTGAGAGGAGGTCGGAGGCTTCACGTTTGGGGACAGAGGGAAGTTGAAATTGGACATGCTTTGGAGCGGCGCACCTAAAGCCTGTCACTTTATAATCACGGGTTTATTTCTCAAATAAACAGTGTTAAAACACTTCTACCCTAGACTTCATACGTACCCTGACCCAATCTGAACACTTCTCATTCCCGCACGCAGCGTACACCCATCCCAAACTCGTAAATACCATCCTATACTACCTTCTGACCCCCACAACAAAATCCCACCCACTGCAAAGAAAACCCCAGCGATGGCCACTCCGCCAACACCGGCCGACGGACAGACGATCATTTGCACTCGGTCTATGCAACCCTATGTTTTCGACACCATCGCTAGCCGCAGGCTTTGAGAACCTTGTCTCTCGGGACGTCATACGTTAAATGTTTCGTGACGAATGTAAAGAATGTTGACGCCGGTAAATGCAAATGTATCTGAGTGGGGAGAGTATTGGGCCCATGAGCATAAGCCGGCGTGACGAACTTTGGCGGGTCCAAGAGCTCAAGGTCGCTCGATGTTCACCTTAACTGCGCTGAAAGCATGGTCGGGTCAGTTGGAGGTGGAACGGAGAAAGATTTGGATGGAGGAGGGCTCGGATGGGGGAGGAAGCGGAATTGCGCTGGCCCATCAATTTGCGCGTTGGCCGTCCGACACGGGATTGGCATGACTCGATATGTAGGGAACTTCCCTATTATTACCGATTTGCCCAGATTGCCCTAGATCAGGACGGATCGGGCTCTCACTATGTTTTTACCGATGCAGAATGGAGAGGTTTTCATTTGTGTCTTCATCCAGGTTGCGGTAAAGAGTACCATGAACTGAGTTGGTCTACAATAGTAGTGAAACTTTTTAATTTGCAGAGAAGAAAAGAAGAAAAACACAAGTACAGCATCCTCAGACACTGTATCCACTCATTTCAACACTTTTTCCTTCACTCTTCAATCCATTCCACTCCTTGTGCGGTCAGGCAACCCTTATTCTGACCCCGTTGGCGACACTATTGAGCTTTTAGTTAGCTGCTTAGTCCATCAAGGTCTTGAACCGTCAACATACATGTTTACGGGTCATCGCGTCGCGCGAGGCCTTCGTGAATTTGTTCTTCCTCCTGCGGAGAGTGCGCATACAGCTACAGTGGGTGCCAAAGTAGACGAGTTTGGCACTATCTGGGGTGACTATAGTCGTGTAAGTAATCCGATTAATCCATGACAACAAGTTTCAGAAAGTGTCTAGTACGAGTACTTACACTGTTTCATAAAACGGTTTGCAAGGTCGAAAGCGAACGTTTCAAGAGCGGAAGGAACGGAAGGCTCCAGTTTTACAAAGAGTGGACGAATTATCGGCAGCATGGGAGCCAGTGTAAGGGAGGCCACGGATTCGGGAGCCGGGGGAGGGAGGACAGTGACGGGGGTAGAGAGACTGCATTCATCTCCGAAAATGAACCGTTCGAGTCGACAGATGCTTCAAGTTCCTCGGAGGCGCGATTTTCAACATGGCATGCAAGAGCTTGGATGTGTTGAAGCAATTATTCATTGGCTTTTGAGAATGCATCATGTGGCGATGGCTTTTTTCGGAATGCAGTTACAAACGTCTTCGAAAATCTGCCGCCACGACGATAACACCTTCATTTGATCCTCCATGGTTGCCACGACGCTTACAACCTCTCATCTTCTCTCATCCTCACGACCTCCCCAACCACGCCCCACTGGTACGATACCCCCGGCCAAACGTTTTGACAGCTTCTGCTTTCTCGGCATCCGATACACCATCACACCTAGCACTATACAGGTATCGGACAACGTTGCATGAACACGGATGTAGAAAAGATTTGGCGGATCGTGGTGTTTATGGCGGTTAACGTGGACTGCTACTCAATGGCGATGCGTCACCGCAACTCTTCACTCGTGAAAGGTGTCCACCTCAATCTGTTCGGGGCGGCTGAAGCGTACTGAGGCGGATTCAGTCCGAACTGGATTGTTCACTGAGAAACAACACGACAGAATATTCTGGTTTCGAAAGGTGCAGGTAACTGGGAAGCGGGCTCGGAGACAGTTAAAGAGGTTGACAAGGCGATTGTTGGTTTTTGTGATGCCCGAGATGACTACATAAATCTCATTCCCATTCGTCAGTAATTCGATCAAACAATCCCCGCTCGAGGGTAATCCAGGTAAGGGTAAAATCTGAGGAGGAACACTTACATTTCACTCTGAACCAACAAATCTATAAAATTGATTGTTTTCACACCGAGGACTGTCGAAGAGGCATACTCTACTACCTACTACACCAGAAAAACGCAGGCACGATGCTGTAAGGGTGGATATCACCCTCTTCAATACGTTCAGCCCGGAGTAGGAGATGTTCTCGAAGCGGATTTCGCCTTAGAAGCAGTTGTTGCTATTACCTGAGAAAATATGATAGCTGAAGCGTCTTGGACCGCTGCGTGCAGTGGGTAGTGTTGCAGTGAAATCGAGTCAGTGCCAAGAGTGATGGAGTTTGATCGGCGTGTTCAAACAGCGGAAAGTTGTGGCAGGGAAAGCAGAAGTATCCATAAGCGTTGTGAAAGGTGCAATAACGTGCCGTCAGTGGAATGCGGAAAAAATGGAGGGGTTCTGAAGTTGTTCGGGATATTGGTGGTGGGTGAGAACTTGTGAATCAGCAGTCACGGTGCTTTCTCATTCGCAAACCCACTATCTCGAAGAACCCGCTGGAATCTTTCATTCTCACCCTCATGCTTATCCTTTACAGTCACAAACACCGTTCTCCATCTACGACTAGCTCGTCCTGGCCAGCTACAACTATCCTCTTCTTAACAACATCTCTCAATCTGGCCCCTTTCATCTTCCCTTCCAAACTAGCCGGCTACCGGTTCATCATAACTTTCATTCTCACCATCTCCAGCTTGACCTTCTCATCTTCGTCTGCTACAGCTCTCACAATCCCTCTGAACATGAAGACCAATAACCGCGAGTTATTGCCCAAGCCGTTCACACATTCCATGATAATTGCTGTCATTGGCTTTCCTGCATCTTCGACTGGAAAACTTGGCTCTGCACTCTATCTTGGTTTTATGCGGCGGCGGATGGCGACAAACACGATAAATCTACCACAACGCTTGGGAACAAACCACAACACCCTCAGGAATGGCTTGACTGCTAACACGTATGTTGTCTCTTCAACCCATTGCTAGACCAACCCGCTAACCAAAACTCAATACAGTATCATGGTCGAGACTGGGATCACGACAAATCCAGGTGCTGTGTGACCTCACGGGTACTGCGATCCTCGATTTTTTTCTATTTGAAAGTGTTGCATGCAGATGGGCTCTCCTACAGAACACACCCACACGGGGACCAAGCAAGTTTGCCATACCATATCTCACCCCAGGCCTCGCCGCTGGCATCTTCTCGCTCAACCTAAAACGTGAGGCTTCCAGCATCTCAACTACCCCTCTCATCATCCACACTCTGGCTAATATCATGTCGCCAGTTTTTCTGAGACGCATTGGCCATGTTACGGTTTCCCCCAACACCGTGACGCACCAGTACCTACCAAGGACTTGAATCCGAATCGGCACCGTTCCGCTTTCCAACTATTTCCTCCGAGTCACAACAAGAACCTGCCATACACACCACACCACACCATGCTTTCAGGAAACTTTACCTATACCTGGAAGAAACGCCGACCAAGCACGTATACGAAGTCCAATCGTCCGGCCGGGGTCGCCCCTGTTATTCGTCAAAGTTACCTCGCATATGTCGATTTCGGGGTCCACAAATTTTGACATCAACACTCCCCAACCCAGCCCAATCCAGGCTACCGGTGTTTCTGTTATATATCTCCTAGTCCACATCCACGCTCTGCAGCGTTGGCCAGAATCCTGACAGCGCCACACACATTGGGAGTCCCCAATTTCCCGCTCGGTCTGTGGGTGGAGTGCAAATACCCAATGGGGCCGGGCGAGGAAATGGCGAAACTAATACGGCCGATTAGTACAGCGGCCTCGTCGGCTTTATTTACCTTGTACAAGTTCTTGCGGAAAGGGATCATGGCGTGTGTACTAATACTAGAAGAGATGGGATCATGCTGAGTGGATGCAGTGTTCACAGACTCTGAGTCGGGGGCGTCTTGTTTGTTTGATGCTTGATTTCCCATTTGTTCTGTCGGTCACTGTCGGCCATATTGGGTTTTGGTTGGTCAGGGAATATCCACCGCCATCTAGAATAATGGACAAGAGAGAGACGAGAATGTAAATGGTTGAAGATCTATCTATGAGTACTGTTGGCATGGATGGGAAGATTTGCAGTTTGTAGCTAAACAAGATACTCTTTATCCTCCTTTTTGTCGTCGGTTAACTACAGGAGTAGTCTTCCACCACGAGCTTCTGTATGATGTTTCATAGTGGTTGTCTTAGAATCGCCAGTTAGCGTATGATCATGATCATAACCACCAGATGGCCGGGAAAACATATCATATTGCTTCAGAAGCCATGGCATTCATTCCAATGAAATCCAGGAAAGGGTCGAGGGGTTCCACTCCCTCGACCGATCCAAAGTCCCTCCCATCCCTTGGCCAATGCGGTCATCTGTTTAACCGTCTTGAGGAAGTAAGATGTGAACATCCCATCTAGTGATAGCGCAAACTCGCTGGCTTTGAACGTGGCCGCGCGCCATTTCGCCTGGTGGATGATGAGTCCGCCTTTGGCTGCTAGGGATAATCGATGGGCCAATAGAGCGCCCACACGGAATTGTTCTACGTTCAAAATCCACCAGATGATTGCCCATTTGCATCGCCGGATGGGTGGTCA